TATACATGCGTGCGTGTACCTGGGGATAGGTGGTGGTTCTGCTGAGTGTCTGGTTGTGGCCCATGTGCTTGGCATCGCCTGAGGCGAGTGTCTTGGCTCTGTTGCGTGTGTCTCTGTTGACTTCTGTGACCACTGCCATGATCTCTGAATCAGTGGGACTGATCGCCTCAGCACTGCGGGGGCTTGGCAGGCTGTGGCTGTGTGTGCTGTGTGTGTTGATGGTATGCCTTACCTGTGTACTGCCCTGTGCACCCGGCTGTGCGTGTGCGTGTGTGGCTGGGGCTGTGGCGTCGATGGGAGATGGGGTGCGCACGTGCACTGTGTGTGTGTATGCGCCTGTGGCTGCCTCTGAGAAGGGCTGTAGTAGCATGTTGAGGCTGTCTGTGGTGGCTGTGATGTCTCGTGTGTTGTCGTCCGTGGTCTGTCCACCCACTGCAGTGCCACTGTGCTGTGGGCTGTCAGTGCTATTCACTGCCCCCGTCTCAGCTCCCGACCCTTTTTGTGTCTGTGTCTGTGTCTGTGGTTGTGCCTGTGCCTGTGCCTGTGAGTGATGTTCTAGTGCCCCTAGGCTGTTGATGCGTATGCTGCCTGAGCCATCCGTGGGCAGTGGTGCGCCCCTGTCTACGCTGATGCTTCGCCTGAGGTGGTGGCTGCATGGCTGGTGGTGCTGCGGCTGTTTCTGCAGACGTTGCAGTTGGTTGCTTGCATGCACGCTGTGTGACCGTTGGTCGCGTGGCTTGAGGGGTGGTCGTCTGTGCGTGTGTGGTGGCTGGGCATTGCCTGTGTGTGTGCTGTTGCGTAGGCTGCTGCCCCTGTCGCTGAGCGTGCGTGTGGTGGTGTCGTGGCTGCCCTTGCTGTCACCGGTAGTCACCTTGACCACTGTGTGGCTGGTGCTGCGGATGGCTCGGATGGCTCGGGCGCTGCTCTTGCTGTCGCTGCTTGCGCATCGGCCAAAGGTGTCCTGTGCTTCGTCTATTCGGCTGTAGCTGTCGCTGTCGTATCGCGTGCGTCTGCCGTAACTGTCGTGGCTGTCGTGCCCCACACTCTTCTGTGGGCGCAGAGGGTCGAATTTGGTTGCTGCGTCGCTCTCGTGCCGGGCGGTTGTCATGCCAACCATGCTGTTGCGTCCTCTGAGCACTCGGCCGTCGTGGCTGCTGAGGCCACTGGAGGTAGACCGAAGGGCCATGCTGCGCACACTGCCAGGACTAGGCCCATCACGCGCAGGCGGCACCTTAAAGATGTCCAGCGACTGCATGGGAGAGGAGAGAATGAGACACACACACTACCAGCATGTGCAACACACACACACACACTACAAGCATGTGCAACACAAGCACACACATACACACTACAAGCATGTGCAACAAACACACACACTACTAGCATGTGCGACACACGCACACACACACACTACAAGCATGTGCAACACACGCACAACACACGCACACACATACACACACACACACACTGCAAGAATACGGAGGAAGGGAAGGAAGAGAGAATGAGAGACACACTACCAGCATGTGTAACACACGCACAACACACACACTACAAGCATGTGCAACACACACATACCCACTGCAAGCATACGGGGGAAGGGAAGGAAGAGAGAATAAAACACACACTACAAGCATGTGCAACACACACACACACACACACACATACACACACTGCAAGCATACTGGGGAAGGGAAGGAAGAGAGAATGAGAGACACACACTACAAGCATGTGCAACACACGCACACATACACAAACAGACGATGCAGTTGTTTATGAAACCCTATTCTGGACGGGTGCACTTATAGTTTACATTAAATTAAACATCAGGCATAGCTATGCACACCAGTTGTAGGGTTTCTGTGGTGCTAGTACATCTATATCAACAGATATTCATTCCCAGCCATTTGCGTAGAAAACTACGCATGCCACTGCGCGTATGATGTGCATAGCCTCACCTGTGACTCTAGTGTGGGCGCAGTTGTGCTGCCCATTCCAAACAGCCCCTTGAGGCCTCTTGTTTTGCTGCCGATTGTGTTGAATTTGGAGTTCGACGTGCGCATAGACTTCGAGTGCTCCCCTACAGAAGATCCCCCAAAAGACCCCCAACGGGCGCATATGAGACATGTGGACTACCACACGGTGGTGTGACGGATCACACCCACACGAAAACGAATGCGAATGAAAGACGAGTCACCCCGAACACACCCACCGCAATGCGCACGTCAACCCAACACTACTACAGCACAGTATTTAGAAACGATAGTGTTAACCCAACACTACTACAACACAATGTACAGCAACAAGTGATGTACAGCTCAGTGTAATGAGGGAAGTTCTGTACTTACACACAGTGCAGAGAGACCTACCGAAGTGAATGGAGGGTGTCCTGGGGGGTGTGTGGGCCTTGAGGTGCAGGTGTGCTGGGGGTGTTGGTGGCAGCTGTTGGATGTGTGGCTTGCTTTTGGAGGTGTTGCTGTCGCTGGCGTCGTTCGTACTATTGGCGATGCTGTTAGTATTACTGTTGTTGATGCTGTGGCTATTGTGGCTGTCTGCATGGCTGCTGGTCATACGCTTGCTAGTGAATATGTGCGTGTGTACCATCCCAGCTGACTGAGACTGTGCCTGAGACTGTGCCTGTGCCTGAGACTGTGCCTGTGCCTGTGCCTGTGACTGTGACTGTGGGGCATTCCAGTTGTTTTTATTGGGCGGTAGTGGTGTCAGACTCAGTGTCGATGGCAGTGACTTGACATGGTGAGGCGAGTTGCCGATGGGGTCGTGAAACACCCGTTGCATTTCCTGCCAAGACAATTAGGGTTATAGGGTTTAAGGTTTAGGGTGTAATATGCGCATGCGCGTGATATTATGAGAAGGATACAGTGTGAAAGGTGCGAGAAAGTCAGCAGCTAAAACATCTTCTGCTTATAGTACAGAGACACAATACATTTCTGACTGGACATATGAGCGTGACAGTTGACAGTGAAGGTATATGCTCCCCTCACTATATACAAGCAAGACTCTGTATATACAACACCCACACACATATATATAATCATAGAATCACAACAGTATACAACAACTCCCTACATCGCTCACTGCGACAAGAGACATGCACAAACTCACTACACGCACTCACTCCCAACACACACACGCACACACACACTCTCTCTCTCACGCACTCACAACACACTACACACACTACACACACACCTGTATGTTCAGGCCCTCCCGCGAGAGATCGCTTGCGTTGACTGCCTGAGGCGACGTGGCACTGCCAGGGTATGCGGAGGTGTTGTATGTGTGTGCCTTGCCGTTGGCTTTGTCTGGGGGTGCGTAGTGTGTGGATAGGCTGGGCTGCTCCTTCAGTTTGGGATCGATTGTGAGATAGCGCTCGGGAATGGCTCGCAACAGCATACGACACATCACCTGCCAATGGGTGAGCCAAACTATCAGACGCACGCGTGAAACCTGAAACCCTAAACTAAATTCTAACCCTAAACCCTAGCCCTATGCATGAGCAATTAACGGGCATGGAAGCATTAGATGCCAAGCGACAGAACAAACGCAGACGTAGCGGTGGGAAGAGTCAGCACTAACCACAGTGCTACGCAATCACGGAAATGGTACGAAACACGGTGTAGTATCATTTTACTAAACTACATTTTTCTAAACAAACTAAAACCCAAAAACATGACGGTATGACGTGAATGATGCTAAGGAAATGTCAGATGTAAACGTACATGGACGAAATGTGCATGCGAGTGTGGAGTGGAAGGAAAGGGAACTGACTATAAATAGCACATTCCAACATTCCAATATCTATAAATAGCATATTTCAACATCCCATAATCTATAACTAGCACATTCCGACACATTCCATTATCTACAAATAGCACATTCCAACATTCCATTATCTATAAATAGCACATTCCAATTGCACATTCTAACATCTTATAATCTATAAACTGCAAATTCCAATATTCCATTACCTATAAATAATACATTTCAACATTCCATTATCTAAAAATAGCACATTACAACATTCACTCATCTATAAAGAGCACATTCCAGTTGCACATTCCAACATTCCATTATTTATAAATAGCACATTCCAACATTCCAATATTTATAAATAGCACATTCCAACATTCCGGTATTTATAAATAGCACATTCCAACATTCCGTTATTTATAAATAGCACATTCCAACATTCTTCTATTTATAAATAGCACATACCCACATTCCATTATCTACAAATAGCACATTTCAATTGCACATTTTAACATTCCATTATTTATAGACAGCACATTCCAACATTCGATTACAGATAAATTTTACATTCCAACATTCCATCGCAGATAAATTTTACATTCCAACATTCCAACATTCCAAAATGTACAAATAGCACATTCCAACATTACATTATTTATAAATAGCATTCCAAAATTACATTATCTATAAATAGCACTTTTCAACATTCCATTCTCTATAAATATCACATTCCAACATTCCATTATCTATAAATAGAACACCACATCATTGCATTATATATAAATAGCACATTCCAACATTCCATTATCTAAAATTATCCCATTCCAACATCGAACATCTATACATAGCACATCCCAACATTCCACCATCTATTAATAGCACATGCCTGGTAGCGTCGCATAGGCAGAATATTAAGAAAGACAAAGGTGGTCTTGAGTAACACTTTGCCGCCCCCGTCTTCGAATTGGTGCCATCGGCCTGCCTCATCTTTGCGCGACTGACGAATGTCAGTGGCTGGGACAACCACAGTACCTGAGAAAGTCAGAGATAACAGCGCACACACATGAGTTAAACCCTAAAACCCTAGTACACACACGAGAGACAACAGCACACACACAGTTGCGTTATACAGACAAGGCCAGGTATACTACGTGCGAGCAATGCAAGGATGGATGTAGGTAAGGATCAATGTAGGTATGTCTATAATTAGATATAACATCAGATAATCGAAGTGTGCGGCGTTGTCCAGGGGCATGTGTTTTCAATACTAGACATAAGGATCTGCGTTTTACTATAAAAAGCATGTGTATATGTATGTGTATGTATATGTGTGTGTATGTGTATGTATAAGTATATGTATACGTATACGCGTGCATGCCGAATACAAATAACTAACACGTGACACACTGGCATGTAGCTGGCCTCATTCAGAAAGCAGAGAGCGAGTGATTGTACGCTCAGGTATCGTGTGCGTGATACTCCTCAGTCCGTCTGTTCTGCTGCACGCGATATGATGCGACAGCTATGCCCATCATATACTGTGGTTGTCATAGTGTGTATTTACTGTGGTTGTCATAGTGTGTATTTACTGTGGTTGTCATAGTGTGTATTTACTGTGGTTGTCATAGTGTGTATTTACTGTGGTTGACATTGAGTGTATTTACTGTGGTTGACATTGTGTGTATTTGCGTATGGATGTCAATCCCATGATAGGTCGTGGTATGGACATACACATCGCACATGTCACAGACACATGCACATGCGCCTGTGAGATGTAGGTGAGGGATTTTTTAACCACAACACAACTGTTGTGTGTATTGCTTAGGTAGCGATAGATAGGTAAGACGTACAAAAAGAGATTGCATACCTACGACAACGGTTGCTCCTTTCCTGGTCCGCGATTGCCTTGACACCTGTCAATGTGTCAATATGTCAATATGTCAATATGTCAATGTGTCAATGTGAGGATGTGGTAGAGAGGAACATTCAGATAAACCAAATAAACTCACATGTCCAGAAATATGTCAGTGGGCGGTGCGTACGGGTTAAACTTAATACTACGCAACACATGCACGTGCACGCATGAACTATTTGCATCTAGAACCCTAAAACCTTAAAACCCTAAAACTCACATGCGTGATGTGAGTGGTCACTGCTAGTATATCATTGAATGGTAATATTTGTATATGGATAGCACTTACTATATATGGCAGTACCCACACCATTGCTCTATCTCTATACTAATTTTACATGAGTGGTCAATATAACTACAATACTGTTAAATGAACACACACACACACACACACACATATATATATATATATATATATATATATATATACACCCACACAGACACAGACACAGACACGACACACGCATCTCAGCTCTAGGTGTCATGCGGAGGGTTTAGGGTTTAGGTTTTAGGGTTTGTGGTTAAGCGATGGTACTGACCGTCAGTGTCATGCTTTCGAAGGATGACTCGATGTAGAACTTGATAACCTGCAGCCAATTCCATTCCGTTGGTTTGGTGTTGGTGACCCATGGCAGTTGGCGCACCACCTCATTGTCAAAGGACAGGTCCACGGTCAGTTGCTTGGCCGGGTCCTTCTCGTACCTACCATGCATGCAGGCAGTGGGTGTGGCGTGTGTGTGTAAAGGTTTAGGGTTATTTAGGGCTGAGTGGAGGAGTAGCATGTGTCCAATGGAATGTACAGTGGAAAGACATTTTGTGCAATGGAATGTACGTGGAATGTTATTTGTGCAATGGAATGTCATTTTGTGCAATGGAATGCCCTTTTGTGCAATGGAATGTACAGTGGAATGGCCTGTTTGAAGTGGTCTTTCACACTATGTGTACATGCACCATACATCATACATATCAACACATACCATAACACTCACACTACCAGCACGGCACGTACTAGCCTGTCACATGTACCCCCCCCCCTTGCCATGACAACACTACCTACCTAGGAATGATGACGCTCTTGACCTGTATGCTGATGACGTGCATGATGCGTGTGGCCTCTTGCAGTCGCCACTCTTCCGCTGCTTTAACAAACATGTCGCGCCATTTGAGTGCCTTGGCAGGGTTGGGTGCCGCCATTTCGAAGCTTTCCAAATATGGGCTGCTGTCCACCTGGTTCGTTGGCGAGTCAGTGCTCTGAGGGGCGTGGTACGCAAACATCTTATCTCCACTGACGTTAACGTAAATGGGCCGACAGATCTGCAGCATCATCTCACACGACCCATGGCCTTTAGGAATAATAGCCGAGCTGTAGGTCACCCCACCCAGCCAGACGGAGGAGAAGATGTGTAGGTATATGATAGGTATTAGCATGTAACCAAGCATATATCAACATATACGAGCATATATAAACATCTACGAGCATACATAAACATCTCCACCCCCCAATACGTCTATACGAGAACAGGTCTACGCCCACGAATATGAATAAACAAATACGCAAATACATATATGCACCCCAAAACGATACACAAATAGATACTTAAACCCCCAAATTCGGATATAAAAAACACACGAATAAACAAACAGATACATACACCCCCAAACAATCCACAAATACATACTCACACTCCAACAGGTCTGCGACAAACGAGTAACACCCCACCCGCTCACTGGGCCACAGGCACGCGCACACACCGGAGAATAGTCAGCTGCATGAGAGGCTGGGTGAAGGCTGTCTTGGTGGTGGGGTGTCTGGTGGTCGCGTGCTTGGCTGGTTTGTTGGCCATGTCCTCGTCCACAATGTACATGTACGAATTACCGCACACAATCCCAAACACACGCCGCCACTTCTTCACGCCCGTCTTAAGTAACAGAGGGCCGTAGTACACCACACTGCGGAAGATGAACGGGTTAAACCCGTGGGTGGTCAGGTTGCAGATCTCACGGTACTTGGTGCCGTCCAGCCGCAGCGTGGGTAGAGAGAAGCCCTGGCGCTTCAGCCCAGGCGACCGGTTCACCGCGCGCCGCACCTGCAGAACGGGGGAGAGGTGGGGTCAGAAATAGGGGAAAACCCTAGAACTGGAAACCCTATAATTCCGAATCCTAAAACCCTATCACTAAGTGCAGGCTATAGGAATACAGGCGCAAGTAAAGGCGAGCAAGCAATCTAAAAATAGAACACGCAGCAAGCAATCCAACCAATCTATAAATAGCGCACGCACCTCATTGGCCTTGCCGCCGCTGCTGCTCATGCTGCGTGAGCGGGGCGTCTTGGTCTTACTATGGCGTGCGGTCATGAGGAAGTCCACCAGGTTGGTGTCAGGCATTGGTGACACACCCGCACTCGACACACGCGGCGTCATGCGTGGCAGCGGAGGCACCTTGTGCTTGTGCTTAATTTTGGGCGAGGCTGCAGTGACCCAGCTGTGGCTGGTGAGCTTGGCTTTGGTCAGCAGTGAGTTGCTGGCACTGCTGGCACTGGGATTGGTGTTGGAGACGGGCGCGTCGGGGTTGGACGATGAGGCTGACATTGGCTGTGGGATGGGGTTGTGTAGGTACAAAGAGTGGTAGGTATATGTGGTTCGTTAGTAACTATCTTGATATGTGCAGC